TAAATACTCACTTTAGGGATGAGGAAACAAAGGCTGCCAGAGGTGAAGAGACTCGCTCAAAGTAACACAGCTAGTTACAGGGAGAGTAGGGATCAAACCCAGGCGCCTGATTCCACATTCAGTGTTCTCTCTCTGCCTCCTTCACACCTTTGCCAAATTAATCTTAATAAAGCTCTCTTCTGATCATATCACCTATCCAAAAACCTTCAGAAGCTACTCATTGCCTGCAGGATAGACTCCAGACTTGTTGGCCTGGCATTCAGTAGCTGCAACAATCATGTAGTGACCTGACCTCCCAGCTAGAAGGGGCTTTAGGCATCCTCTGGTCTAGCCCAGCCCTCTCATTTTTACAGATAAAGAAACTGAGGCCCAGAACGGAGGAGTCACTTGCTCAAGGTCACGTGAGGATTCGACCTTCAACAAGCATTTATTAAATGCCTAATTAGAGAGAGGCAGTGTGGCTTAGTGGTCCAAGAACTGGCCTCAGAGCCAGAAAGACCTGGGACCATGTTCTGTTGTTGACACAGACTGGCTGTGTGACGCTGGGCAAGTCATTTAACCTCTCTGAGAGATACAGTTCTCTAAGCTGGCAAGAAAATGCTGACCAGAACTGATAAAGGAAGTTTCTTCATCTGGAATTTCTTTGTACCAATGAAACAGATGCAGTCTGTTCCTATGTCTTTTTTTTTTTTTTTTTGGTGATGCAGTTGGGGTTAAGTGACTTGCCCAGAGTCACACTGCTAGTGAGTGTTATGTGTCTGAGGCCGGATTTGAACTCAGGTCCTCCTGACCCCAGGGCCGGTGCTCTATCCACTACACCACCTAGCTGCCCCTAGTCTGTTCCTATGTCTACGATGTTCTAAGCACTATTCGAGGATCCATGGATGTGACATTGGTGCTGGCTGGACCCTGTGCACTAGGTTGGTGTCTCAGGTAACATGTGAGGGGCTACAATAGCGAGAGCAGCCCATATCTGGCTTCTGTCCGGCCTTCTGTCAGCCTGGACAAGAGTATCACCTTGCCATAAACCAGCAAGGAAGTGTAATGTAGGATTTTGATCACCAGGTGGTGCACCACCCCAGGCACAAGCACAGTGGTCCTGCCAGCTCTTGACCCATGTGTAAACATGGTTTCTTTGTGCATGTACTAGCTGTCCAAGCTGGATTGGTCTAAAGAGTTGGACAAAGAGCAGCCTTTGCTGACCTGGGTTCTGAATGAAACTGGGGCATGACATGATACATGACTCTAGCTCCCGCCCCACCTTTCAGAAATGTTCTGCTCTCTGATGATTTTTTGCATTTTTTTTGCATTGATAGGCAGTCAACTTTTCTGTGGCTGCATGGTAAAGCTGCCCAATCTCCAAACCTCCTCCTACTTATTTGGAGCCCCTAGGGAGCCATCCCAAACCAATTGCTTCCACTTAGGTCATGGAAGGAATTAAAGGAGGGTCATTCGTGTATGACCCTTCTCCAGGTCAGGAAAGCAAAGGTGAAAGGTATCAGGAATTTGGGCTGGCGTCCCAGCCTTCTCACAGTTCTAGCTCTCCAGCCAACCTAGACTTGAATTTCCAATTGGCTGCTCTGGCCCCCATCCTTCTTAATTCTAGTGCTTTCCTTTTCTTAATTATTCCCAATTTATCCTATATATGATTTGTACATATTTATTTGCATGCTGTTCCCCCCTCCCCCTTTAAATTATGAGCTTCTAGAAAGCAGGGGCTCTTTGACCCGCCTTTGTATCCCCAGCCCTTAGCACACTGCCTGGCACACACCAGGCAGTTAAGAAATATTTGTTTGGGGGCAGCTAGGTGGTACAGTGGATAGAACACCAGCCCTGGAGTCAGGAGGATCTGAGTTCATATCTGGTCTCAGACACTTACTAGCTAGCTGTGTGACCCTGATCAAGTCACTTAACCCCCACTGCCTCCAAAATTAAAAAAAAAGAAATATTTATTAACTGACTGATTGTCTGATCCAGCTCCCCTTCTAATGCTCCCAGTTGTTGAAGACAGTGCTTCAGGTTCTAGGAGCTGGGTGCTCCTCAACCATCTACCTCCAATTTCTCCAATTCTTCCTGAGAGGCAACTCTCCATGAGACTCTGAGAAGTCTCTTTTGACACAGCGCTGTGGTCCCAACATCAACTGCTGTGAAACCTATGGCAGGCAACAGCAGGCTTCAGGTGGGAAGCGTCCATACCTGAAATGATTAATCAGTAAGCATTCATTAAGTACCTACCAAGTATCAGGTACTGTGTTAAGCAGTAGGGATACAAAAAGAAGCAAAAGACAGTCCCTGCCCTCACAAAATTTACAATCTAATTGGGTGGAGGGGGGAGAACAACATGCAAACATATATAGAAAGCAAACCATATAGAGGATAAACAGGAATTAACAAAGGGAAGGGAGGAAGTTGGGTAAGGCTTCCAGTAGAAGATGAGATTTTAGATGGGACTTAAAGTAAGCTGAAGAGAGGATTCTAGGCATGGGGCACAGCCAGAGAGAATGCCTAGAGCCAAGAGATGGAATGAGTAGTTCATGGAACAGCCAGAGGGCCAGTGTCCCTGAATCAAAGAAATGATGAGGAAGGATGTTTGAGTCCCAAGGGCTTGATGCAGTACCCCAACCTGCTGCTTTGTCAATGCTCTCTCCTTTCTCCTGACTTCCATAACACTCCCCTTCCCCAACCTTCTGCCTCCCCAAAAGTGTAAACTTCCCTGGAACTCTGAAAGGTGGAAAAATCTCCACCATCAGAGACAGGAGAATGGGGACCATTCTCAGCAGCACTGTCAGTCTCTCATCTACCATCCCCCGAAAATGACCCTCCCTTTGGGCCCCGGGTTAAATTATAACTGGAGAACAGATAAGGGATTCTGGTGGGAGCACCCTGGCTTAGGACCCAGTTAAAAAGGCAGAAAAGGAAACAGGTCCCTCCCTGTCTTGAAGGAGTTTACAACTCTTTTTTTTCTTCTTTATGGCAGCAAGTACATAGAAAATTAAATACTAAATAGCAGTAGAGTGAAAGTAATTTCCAGAGGGAGAGGAAAGAAGCAGGTTAGGTTTCTTGTAAGCAGTGGTGTTGGGACAGAGCTTTGAAGGAAGCTGGGCCTTCCTCAGCAGCATGAGGAAAGGAGGACATTTTGGACGAGAAGGATCAGCCATGCTGGCTGGCGGTACAGCAGCACCAGAGGGGCAAGTGCCCCAATCACAGTTTTCACCAAGGTCCCCTGGTTCTTCTTTCACTTCACCACCAAGCCTTCCAAAGCCCACCTGAAAGGCTGTTTCCTCCAGGCAGCTTCCCTAAACTCCATCTAGAAACCAAGGCCCTCCCTCCAGTAAAGGCTTTGTTCCTACCTCTGGTGCATTTACTCATGATAGCTTTTGTGTTATGGTTATTAGTGTACAAAGTCAAGTCAACTAGCACTTAGTAAGCTTGTGTCAGGCTCGGGGCTAAGCTCTGGGCTTACAAAGAAAGGAAAAAGTCCCAACTCTCAAAGACCTCACAGTCTGATGGGGAGACAGTATGCAAACAACATTGTACAAACAAGATACACACCCGGTGACCTGGAGATTCTCTCAGAGGCATTGAGGGGGCTAAGGAAAGAGACTCATTTCAGCTGAGACTGGAGGAAAATCGGGGAGTTAGGAGGTGGAGATAAGGAGGGGAAGAATTCCAGTCATGGGAGGAGGGGCAGACAGTCAGTGAAAATTCCTGGAGTCAGGAGACGGAGTGTCCAGTGTGAAGACCAGCAAAGAGGCCAGTGTCAATGGATCTCAGAGTGCGTGGAGGGAGCTGAAGTGTAAGAAGACTAGGCACGTATAAAGGTGCTGAGTTCTGAAGGGCTTTAAAAGGTAAACAGTGGATTTCATATTTGATCCTGGAGGCAATAGGGAACCAGTTACTTTGTTAAGCAGGGGGCCTCAAAGGGTCAGACCTGCGATTTAGGAAAATCAATTTAAAAGCTAAGTGGAGGATGGGCTTGGCCTGTGAGGCAGAGAGACTGACCAGAAATCTGTTGGAGTAGTTCAGGTGTAAGTTGACCAGGGCCTGAAACAGGCTGGGAGCAGTCAGAGGAGAGAAGGGGGCAGTGGAGGAGAGATGTTACAAGGGTGAAATATCCAGAGGACTTGGCAGCTGGTTGAACATGGGGAGTGAGAGTGAGGCCTGGGGGACTGGGAGGATGGTGTCACCCTCCACAGTAAGAGGGAGCTTAGGAAGAGGGGAAGGTTGGTGCAGGAAGGAGGTGGAGTGGGGAATGAGTTCAGTTTGTGACGTTGAGTTTAAGGTTGACTGTGAGACATCTAGTTCCAGATGGCCAATAGGCTGGAGATGGGATACTGGAAGTCAACAGAAAGGTTAAGGCCGGATAAGTAGATTTGAGGGTCATAAGCATAGAGATGAGACTTGAATCTATGGTAAGTGACGAAGATCCAAGCCAAGTAGTATAGCTGTCTTTTCTGCTATTGCACCGGGGGTGCGGTGGCTAGAGCCCTCCACCTAGAGTGAGGAAGACCTAAATTCAAACCTGGCCTCAGCCTGTGAACCTAGACTAGTCACTTAGCTGCACCCATAAGACTGGGATTGTAGCACCTACCTCCCAGGGTTGTGAGAACAAAATGAGATGTTTGTAAAGGAGCTAGCTCTTAGGAGAGTGAAAGCTCCCTGAAGGCAAGGATAAATTAATTTCTTTTTTAAAATGTCAGCTGCCTGCCCCAGCAAAGACCTCAATACATGTTTGTTGGAGGAATAAATGAATTTGTTCATTATCTGACTGGAGGAGCCTGATGCTGAAGGGCAGTAGGCCCGGGGCTTTGGGCTGAAGGAACAGGTTCTCGTGGGTTTCTTTCCATCAGCATCCACAACGTCAATCAGATTGTCAATAACCCTAACAACCGGTCGATTTGAGTCCCCGCCCTAACACTCCCCTCATCCCGCGAGTGAAGGACGGGAGCACGGGTTGGGATTCCAAGAGAAGAGGACCTCCCTCTCCCTTCCCTGCAGTCATGGCCATGGCGGGGCTAGGGAGGCGACCGGGACACCAGGCAGGGTCAGCGCAGCTCGGAGTGGCCCCAGAGAGTCCGGGGGGCCCGGGCGCAGAGGTGACTGCGGTGGGTGAGGGTGGGAGTTCAGCGTCAAGGGCAGAGCAGGGGTAAGAGCGGAGGGAATGAGACTGGCTTGGGGGTCTCTGAGTGTGGGGGAGGGGACAGTCGGGGATCGCCTGTTGAGGCAGCTAAGGAGTAAGGGGGAGGAGAACGGGACCCCTTAGCAAGCAGCTTCGGGGCGGGAGACGGCCCCCGGGCCAGGGGAGAAGACTGGGTAGCCCGCCAGGACTCCTCAGTCCCAGTAACGGCCCGGGGCTGGCGACAGGATGAGGGGCTGATGGCCACCCGCCCCAGCCCGAGACCTCGGTGACCCGCAGGGGGAAGAGCGCCAGGCCGGGTCGGGACTGGAGCCCGAGCTGGAGCCAGAGCCGGAGCCGGAGCCGGAGCCAGAACCCGAGCCCGAGCCGGAGCTGGAGGAGGGGCTGGCGAAGGATGAGGAGCAGTTGGAGCCGCGGGGTCCCCGCCCCGCGCCACCGGTCCCGCCCCTGAGGGCCAGCCACGGGCTCAAGAAGAAGCCGGCCAAGTGAGGGGGGCGAGGGTCGGGGTCCCAGCAGGCCGTCCGAGGCTGCCCTGACTCCTCTACCGGCTGCTGGACTGGAGGAAAGAGCGAAACATCGCCTGCCTGCCACGTGGGGAGCCTGGCGGAGCCCCAGCTTCCCCAGGCTCTGGGCATTGCCCGGACGAGGGTCACTGGGCAGGAGCTGACCCTGCTAAGGAGGGCGGGGCAGGCATGAAGCCTGGGGGTGCGGGTGGGAGGGATTGGAAGTCGGGAAAGTTGTCACGGAGCCTTGGGAGTGGGATATGGGGTTAGAAGCAAAGAGGAGGAAGGGATTAGTGGGGAATGGTCAGTAAGGAGAAAGAAGGGAGAGTCAGGAGGATTTGGTTGGGAGCAAGCAAAGGAAAGGGTTGGTAGATTGTCATGTGACTGAATGTGGCCATAGAGTTCCCTATCCTGAGGCAAATGGGGCCTGAAGGGGGTGACAAGAGAGGAGGCAAAGGCAACCTTGGTCCCCCTTCCCTCTGTGGTTAAAGGAATTTCAAGGAAGAGAAGCTGGGCACAGGCCCAGCTGCACCCCTCCCCCTAACGCGGCCCCCAGGGGGTGGGGCTGGCATTTGCTGTGGGAGCCCTAAGGCCAGGTCTTGCTTCTCTCCTCTCCCCGTGTCCGTCCCAGGGTGGAGGCTGAGCTGCAGCTGCAGCATACTGATTTGAGAAGGCCGCCCTTGAGAAAGGAAGACTCTGACGGAGCGCAGGGAGAACCCTCCCCAACAGCCAAACAGCACAAGAAGGCCAAGAAACGCAAAAGCCTTGGGGTGCCGCCCCCTTTAGCCGCTACCGCTGTGGTCCCCGGCCCGGCGGAAGCCCTCGGGCTGGAGAGTGAGTGGCATTTGGTGGTGGGCGCAGAGCTTCTGTGGCCCGCACTCTCAGTGTCTGAGCTAGCGACGTTCCCTGAAGCCTTTGCTCGGGGTCTTCTCTCCAAGAACCCCAAGCCCCTTCTCTTGATTCCCCAAGGAGATGGGGGCAAGGGTCCACACAGGGTGCTATCTATGGCTCAGAGGCTGCACTTATGGTCACCTGCAGGGAAAGCTCAGCGCCTGAGACCATTATATCAGTACATCAACTACAGCAACCCTGAGCTGAACCAGGCTGGGGAGGGAGAAGCCGAGATCCAAGTGGAACTGGGCTTGGTCCCAGACGAGGCATCAGGAGGCCCAGAGGAGGCAGGAGCTGAGAGGCCACAGGCCTCACCCCTGGGAGGTCAGTGTTGCTCTGAGTCAAGCCATGACTGTGAGGCCAAGTTCTTCCCCTGCTGGACTCCGTGCTTCCGGCCTCACCGGGACTAAGCACAGGTCCATTTTCCCATTACCTTGATGACTGCGGGGGAATGGCCCTGACTATGGTCCTGGCCCCAGAGACAGAATTCCATTCTGTCCAGAGCTGGGGTTGGGGTCAGAGCCAAACCAAGAGCCTCTTCCACATGCACCCATTCCCTCCCTCTCTTGGGCTGGCTTCCTTTGCAGGGGAGGGAGGAGAGGCGCCTGTGCCCATTCTGAGCTTTACTCCGGGCAGCCAGCTGAAGGCCGAGGTGGACAAGTCGACTCAGGTGGATATTGACAAGATGCTGAGCGTGTGTGCAGCTCACCTTGTTCCCCCACTTTCCCCCCAGTATAAGTGACAGAACCTCAGCGGCCTGTCTGGCTCAGGCCAATGCTCACAACGGGCGCTCAATGCTCACAACGGGCGCTGCACAGGGTCACTTTGCTGAGAAACTTATTGGTCAGAAGGACCCAAGGGGCTTTATCATGTCTCTACCTAAATACCCTTAAGCCACTTTCTCCACTTGGTGGTATTACTGGATTATAGCCTTACTGGCAATAAACATTTTTTAGCATATTTTGACCTTTGGCATTATTACCTGTGGGATTGGCTTCACTGAGGAGAACCAGGGGAAACAGGGAGCTACCTGAGGGTTAAATCTTCTCCCTTTGGACACATTTTACAAAGAAAATTGAAGTTTAAGAGTAAAAGGAAGGCATTGTTTAGATCCTGGTTGTGTGTGCACAGAGCACCTTTGGATTTAATTATGATAGTTCACATTTCTATAGCACTTCAAGGGTTAGAAAGCACTTTCTTTCCAACACCTTTATAGGTAAGGTAAGTACTATGCTAATGTTAAAGCTGGGGAGTGCCTGATTTAAAAATCCAGGTTTTCCCGAGCCCAAGCTCAGCTTCATGTAAAAGTAGGAATCCTTGACTTCGGATTGGGAAACCTGGGCTTGCATTTTGCCTGGTATTTATTAGTGAGATCTTGAATGAGTCACTTAATTATGTTGGGCACTGGTTTCTTCATCTGTCAAAAGGAGATGATAATAATAGTACATACTTTCCAGGGTTGTGAAATCAAATGAGAATGTGGTTTGTCCACCTTAAGGTGCTTTGTAAATATGAGCTATTATTGTTGTTGTAATTGTTCTACCATATTGCTCCTGCTCTTTGGGGGTTAGGCCAGTCGGTGGCAAGAAGCTAGTTGTGTTTCCAGGAACTCTTTATACTAGGTGGTGGTTCCGCCCCCCACCCCCACCCCGGTACTATAGGATGAATCAGTTTGGATTCTCCAAGGAGAAGGGAGTCTGAAAAGTTGTCAGAGCAATATTCTTTTGTGATTTCGTCATGGGGAAATCCTAATATGGAATCTTCCACACTTTGTGGAGATTGGATACTTATCTATAATTGAAGAGTGTTGGACAGTTGTGTGGGGAACTGACAAGTTAATGAATACCTTGCACATGGTCACACAGCTAGTGTGTCAGAGTAAGGTCATGAACTTCTCAAGTCCAAGGCTGGCCTTCCATCCACTGTATGGCACAGAACAATATGATTGTGTTAATTAGGATTCCTGGTTGAGAAGACCTGCTCCTTCACTGAGCTCAAGAGGAAGGAAAGCACTGAACTTGGAATCTGGCCATGGGAATTTCCAAATTGAATTTGATAACTGGAAGGGACCTCATTGGCCATCTTGCCTAACCCATAAAGGAATGGAATGCCCTACAACAAATCTAACAAACTTCTAGCCTTTGCTTGAAGACCTCCAAGAAGTGGGGACCTACCACCTCTCCAGGCAGCCAATTTCACTGCTGGACAGCTCTAACTGGTAGGAAGTGTTGCTTTGTTTTTCTGATCTAAATCAATCACAAATTTCTCAACAGATAAATGACCAAATAGCCTCTTGACCACTTCCACCCACTGTATTATTCTGCTTCCACCTTCTGGGACCAAACAGAATAAGCCTAGTTCCTCTTCAGATATCTGAAGACAGCAGCCTTGTCTTCCTTACATCTTCCATTCTCAAGGTTAAAAACCCAGTTCCTTCAGTTAATTCTCTGAAGATGTGGCTCCTCTCTGGACACCATCCAGCTTATCAGTGTCATTTTACAACCACTAAGTCCAGAACTGCACACAATTCCAAGTAACTTGCCCTATTTAGACTTGTGAAGTAGATTTTTTTTTTGCACCTAAGTGTAAGATTTTCATTCCTCCCTATTGAATTTCATCTTAATAGATTTGACCAAATGTTCTGACCTATCAAGATTCTTTTGGATCCTGACACTGTCCTCCAACATTTTCTATCCCCCCCGACTTCATATTATCTGAAAATCTGGTAAGGCTTTATCCAAATAACCCTTTATCCATTCAGAAATTGATGAACAGCCAGGGACAAGAATACATCCTTGCAGTAGTCCTGCCGTGTTGACAATGAACCAATAACTGTTCTTTGAATCCAACTACTTCTGAATTCATCTGATTTTATTACCTGTCTCTCTAGGTCGCTACACCCAGGGTCAAGTCTCAGCTCTCCCCTTTACTAGCTGTGGAAACTTAAGCAAATTGCCTTACATCTCCAGTCCTCAGTCAGTCAGTTAATAAACATTAAGTACCTATTTCTTACCGGGCCAGTATTCTTGCCAAGAAAACCCCAAATGGGGTCACAAAGAGTCTGACATGACTGGAAAGACTGGACAACATCCAATGTACCATGCCCCATACTAAGTGCTGGAAATACAAAAAAAAAGCAAAAGACAGGCCCTGATCTCATGGAGCTTACAGTCTAATGTAGATAAAATGAAGGCAATTATGTACAAACAAACTATATACAGGATAAATCAAACAAAGCCACTAGCATTGAGGGAAATTGGAAAAGGCTTCCAGTAGAAAGTGGGATTGTAGCTGGGACTTGAAGGAAGCCAGGGAAGCCAGGAGGCAGAGATGAAGAGGGAGAGCATTCCAGGCATGAGGGCAGCCATGAAAACGCCATTGGGAGATGGAGTGTCTTGTGCAAAGAGCAACAAGGAGTCCAGTGTCACCGGATCTCAGGGTATGTGGAGGGGTGTAAGGTGTGAGAAGACAGGGAAGATGGGGGGCAGGTTATGGAGAGCTCTGAGTGCCGGAAGAGTTTATATTTGGTCCTGGACATGACAGAAAGCCCCTGGAGTTCATTCAGTAGGAGATGGAAATAGTCAAAAGCTCATTGTGCCAGCTGAGGGGAAGATGGACTGGAGTGGGAGGAGACTTGAGGAAGCAGACCCAGCAGCAGGTGACTGCAGTGGTCCAGGTGGGCATTGATGAAGGCCTGCCCCAGGGTGGGTACAGAGTCATCGGAGAAAAGGAAGTATACATGAGAGACAATTGCAGGTAAAATCTACAAGCCTTGACAACATATGGGATATGAGGGTGGGCGGGAAGAAGGAGTTATAGAGGACACCTGGGTCGGACGGTGGTATTCTCCACAGTAATAGAGATGTTTAGAAGAAGTGAAGGTTTGGGGTCTGGGGGGAGGAAGAAAGGAGTGTCCCGATGGTTGGTAGACAACAGCTACCGGAATTTTGATAGTGTCTTGGATATAGATTGGGCAAACCTCAGGGGAAGAGAAGTTACTGAGAAAAAGAAATAGAGGGAGAGCTTGGAAGCAGCAATGGGGAATGAGGAGAATTACAACTTCTCTGCCTCAACCACTGAAGGATGGTGGTGATAGAAACAAATGACTGCAAGTTCAACCACTGCGGGAAAAGGTGGTCAGTGAGGCTAGCCTCTATCAGGACAGAGCCAGGTCTCCACGGAGGCCAGAAGATGAAAGGAGTGTAAAAGGAAAAGAGGTGTTCGTTAGCTATGAGGGAGGATGAATTCAAGAGAGTCCCATAGAAACGGGGGTAGTGTTAGAGGGTTAAAGGGAATAGGAATGAGGGTGGGCAGTAGAGATGGGCTGAGGAAGGACTTCTTTTCAGAGGGTGTGGATTTGCTGGGATGGGGAGGGTTATGACCAGGTGGGATTCTTTTAATTATTGCTGAATCAGTTCAGCTAGGTCATGGACATCCCGAAGGATATGGCCTCGGGGTGGGATCCACTCTGGATCTTAGACTTGTTCCACTTGGCCCCAAAAGGCAGAACTACAGCAATAGAACCAGGGCAAGTTGGAACGAGGCCACTTACATTATGTGGTCACTTATCTATTGGGAAATTTGTGATCACTTGTGATCAATTAAGGCTAGATCAGAAGAAAAAAGAAAAAAAAACCCTTCCCACTAACTAGAGCTGTCTAGAAGTGAAATGGGCTGCCTGAAGAAGTAGTAGGTTCTCCTTTCTTTGAGATCTTTGAGAAGGGGCTAGATGGCTATTTATCAGGTTTGTTATAGGGGATTCCTTTCTTGTATGGCTTAATCAAAGAAACAAAACAGGAAAAAAGACCCTCTCCCTGTGTGATTGTTGTTCAGTCACTTTCAGTACAATATTTGACCCCATTGTGACCCCATTTGGGGTTTTCTTGGCAAAGATACTGGAGTGGTTTGCCAGTTCCTTCTCCAGCTCATTTGACAAATGAGGAAACTGAGGCAAACAGGGTTAAGTGACTCACCTAGGATCACAGAACAAGGAAGTGTCTGAGGCCATATTTGAACTCAGGAAGATGAGTCTTCCTGACTCTAGGCCCAGGCTCTATTCACTATGCCACCTAGCTGCCTTTACCTCACCTGTTAAATGGACCAAATAACAACTGTAGTACCTAAGCCATGAGGGTCACATGCTTAACTAAATCAAAGCAAAACAAAACAAAAAAATCTTGGAAAGGAAGGGACCTTACAATTTATATAGTATTTACTTACACATCACTTCACAAAGAAGAAACTGAGGTCCAGAGAGAATTAGTACTGGGCTCTCCCGACACTCAGGTCAGTGTCCTTTATCTTATATTCTTCTGGAATAAATTCCAGCTGGGGAGAAGTTGCAGTCTGTTGTAATGGAAAGAACACTTGAATTGCCAATGTCAGCTCTGCTACTCATTTTCTTAGGAAAGGAAGGCATTCAATCAGATGTTCTGCAAGGTTTCTTTCAAGTCTATGGTAGTACTCAGGTAAAGTTATGGTCTGTCCTCACAGAAGTCAGGGACTTCAGACTCCTGAAATCATTGAGGTTATTGTAGTTAAAAAAAAAAAATCTTGGCTCGATTGTTATAATGTAGCCACTCCTCGGGTTTTTACAATTTAGCCAATAGCTCACAGGTGCTCAGATTCCTTAAGAGTCTGGCCAACATGGCAGATGTTTAATAAACCTTGTCTTTGGCTGAAAAAAAAATCTCCTTTTGGGACCATTTCAGAGGGGGAAAAAATCACTTGTTCTCAACTAATCTATATTTGATTGACATGAAAAGTTTTGCCTTTTAAAAAAAATCAATTCTCCAAAAGATAAATGGCTAAGTAATACAAAAGTTTTCAAAAGTATTACAAATTATAAATTATCACCTGGAGATATGCTCAAAATTACTAGCAATAAGATAATTGTGTATTAAAACAACTCTGAGGTTTTACTTCACACTGT